TAACTCTGGTTTGCATTCCAAACCCTACCTGGTAAAATCCTGGTAGCCAGCTGAGCATCTGGTCCCAACCATGGATGCCTGGACTCTTGCCTGACTGACCTCTGATGGTGTTAATAGTTTTGACGAAGCCCACATACATACCTCTGTCTATTGTAGTATAGAAACCCTTTCCTCTTGTCTCAAAAGTCTAGGAATCCTGTGTTGCTGCTGGCTGAAACGGGCTTGTGTCCCTTCTGTCCATTAAGTTCTTTTAAATTCCATTTTTTGTTAAAAAATCCATTGTCATAAAAGACTATCTGAAGCAGGGCATAGTGATGCATGCCTATAATCCTGGCACTCTACCTCCCGAGGCTGAGGCAGAGGGATACAGGGGTTCTGGGCCTGCCTGGGCTACATAGTGAGTTCAAGGTCAGCCTCAATCATGTAGTGAGGCTCTGTCTCAAAAAAAATAAAAAATCAAAAGAAAATAAACCAGTTAATGGTAATTTATGCAACCTTCAGCAGCTCCTGTTTGACCATGGTGACCTGGTAGCTGAGTAGTTAGCAGATAAAAATATACAAACCCCACAAATTTCCAGGTGCTGCCATAAACGCTGTTATAGGCCAGATTCAAAAGCCTTGGGTAATGTAGACATTAGGTTGTTCCTTAGGTCATCTCTGAAATTCCTGAGCAAATGGCACTACTGTTCAAATAAACTAGTTGGTGGAGCCACAGTAGCAGTAGGCCAGGAAAGTAGTCAGAGTTGAGCTCCCAGAAGACACAAAGGGTGACTCTCACATAGAGCCCTGACACATTTTGTTGGGCATTAAAGGTGTCTAGTGTCAGGTTCTTGTTCAGTAGCTTGTGGATCACGCAGTTAATTTCTAAGAGGTCCTCCAGCTCAACTATTGTGTCTTTTTTTTTTTTTTTGGAACAGTGTTGCTATGCAGTTCAGGCGCAAGCTCACTTTGTAGCCCAGGCTGGTCTTAAAACTTCCAACGGTCCTCCTGCCTCAGCTTCCTGAGTGTTGGGATATTGTTATTATTTTATCATTTTGGAGACAGGGTCTTGCTATGCAGTTCAGGCTGGACTTGAGCTCACTTTGTGGCCTAGGCTGGTCTTGAACTTGCAAGATCCTCCTGCCTTAGCCTCCCAAGTGCTAGGATTACAGGCATGCACCACCATGCCTGGCTGATTGTTGCATTTTGTTCTTAAACTATTTATCAGAAGGCAGTGAAGCAATCCTCCAGCTGGGCTGCATAGTGAGATCAAGACCAGGCTGAACTACATAATGAGACCCTGTCTCAAAAGACCAAGGAGAAAAAGAAAAGAAGTAATCTTCCTGCTAAACCTGCTGTAACCTTATATGTAACATGAAATGGCCTGACCTGCAAGCTTGTAAATGAATTGTGTCAAAATAGATTCATCTCTGCTTCAATTTCATCATAAAGAAACTGCTTTGTTGAACCTGGTGAGTGCGTGGAGGGGCTGTTTGTGTACGGTCCAGGGAGTGGAGGACATACTCCATCCTTGATGTTTCCTTAGTCTCCAGGATGTGGTCATCAGGATTCAGAGTGTGGACATCTCAGTGGGAATTAGATCCTCCTGCCCATGGCCAGCTCCAGGTAGTGGAAACCACAACTTGGAAGGTCATAGCACTGCTGCAGAGTTTCACCAAAAGTGAAAAGAGGTGGATAGGTGTGTGAATGTCTCAGAAACGTGCTCACCATGCTCAGGAGCCTTTCCATGCCCAGAGCCCTGGGCAGCATGGTGCTTGAATGTTGAGGCAGCTTTTGGCATCCTTCCCACCCCACAGCAGGACAGTTGAAGTTTCGTGTCCGGACTTCCAGTCATACAAAGTCTTTCTGATGGACTGTGGGACACTCGGTGACATTCTTCTTTCAAATGACCTGCCACAATGGCTCCTGAGGGTCACATGGGAGAAGTCCTGCTGTGAGGTGTGAGTGGTGTGCTGGGTAGTGTCAGTTGTTTCTTTGTGTTTCAATTGGGATGGTTCCTTTTACTATGTCTTCAGGTACTTTATTATTTTGTGTTACCAATTTTTCACCTTAGACATTTTTTGTTGTTTTTTTTTTTTTTTTTTCCGGTACTGGGAATCAAACTCAGGACCTCGCGCTTGCCAGGCAGGCGCTGTGCCGCTGAGGTAAATCTCCAGCCCCGACAATTGTTTTTTAATCTCTAGAAACTAGTTTTTTGTTCAGTATTCCATTTCACCTTCACATGAGTATGGTTTACTACATATATTTGTGTAATTTGTATCTTCTTTTTCTTCTTACTGTAAATGAGATTTGCCTTCTTGCGTCTATAATTTTTTACTGGATGTCAGATACCCTGATTTTTCCTTATTGGGAATTACATTCTTTCATTTCTTTAAATATCCTTTAAACTCTGTTCTGGGACATAGTTCCTTGGGAATAGTTTGATTCTTTTAAGGTGTCTTTTTGAGCTGTTTTGTTTTTTGAGACAGGATCGCTCAGGTAATCTAGGCTGCTCTCGAAATCTCATCCTCCTCCCTTAACCTCCCACATGCAGGGTTACAGGTGTGTATCACAGCTTCCTGAGCTGTTACAAGGCAGACGCAAGAGAATCAAGAGTTTGAGCGCAGCCTGGACAATTTATCAAGATCCTGTCTCAGAAAATTGTAAAAGAGGAAGGCCGGGGACATAGCTCAGTGTAAAGGTCCTGGACTGAAACCCCACTAACCCCCCCAACACACTCACACTCAGACACACACAAAAGGAGTCTATCTCTCCAGTCTAGGGATAATTTTTTCGCTTCACTGAGGCAATACCCTCTGAGTACTGTTTGTTTATTTTGATACTGGGTCTCACTATGTAGCCCAGGCTGATCTTGACCTCGTAGTGATCCTCCTTCCTCAGCCTCCTGAGTGCTGGGATTACAGGTGTGTGCCACCACGCCCAGCATCCTGTTTTATAAAATCTTTCAGCTCTGGCTGGTGGGAACACATAGCCCTGTGTATGGCTTAGAGATGTTTTATCTGTTCCTTTCCTGAGTTGTCCTGACTTGGGGAAGTTCAGTCACAGGGGCGACCAGTGCTCAGTGGCGTGAATGTTAGTATGCTGTGGATAGTATCAGTGGTAGTCTGCTGTGGATTCCAGTGCTTTCCTGTCGTGTGTAGCTCTCTTCTGTTACTCTGCCCGGTGAGTTCTGCCTGCCTTGGAGTCATTACATGCTCCACTCTGTCTCTTCTACTCAGAGACTACCCACGTAGGTGTGGCTGCACTGTGGCCCAGAAACCTCTCCAGGCTGAATCAGGCAGTAGTCAGAGGGCTCACCTCGTGGGCTTCTTACGCTCGGTGTTCTGCACTCCCTGTTGTCCAGTGCCCAAAAACCATTGCTTTGTGTATTTGTCTGTTTTGTAGTTACTTAAGGTAAGAGGGTAAATCTGGATCCTGTTATTCCATCTTGGCTGGTAGTGAAAGTAACTGGGTAAGAGAGCAAAGAGCTCCAACCAAAAGAAGTGATAGGTGAGAGATGGGTGAAAACGGTTGCCAAAGCTTTGCCCAGATGTAAATACACAGAAAGTATTAACGCATTTTAATTTCACTTCATATCTGCGAAGTCTGAAGTATGACTTATTTAATATTATGTAGTAGTACAACTTTTCGAGATGTTTTTAATATTAACTGGAGGGTTCCTGATATATTTTTACATTGTTACATAATAGTGGGTTAATCATTTGAGTTGATTTTGCTGTGACTTTTTAAAAAAATGTGTTTACAACATGTTTTTGTTTCAGCTAATTTATTGTAGTGGATTTAAAAGGGAAACACACAGGCTGTAGGGCAACAGTTTTTAAAGTAGCATGTTACTGCAGACACCAGTGAGGTTTAATGAGTATCTTACAAATCAGAAAAGAAATTAAATTCATAGCATCTTTGAATGTGAAACTTAACTGTTTTGTTCTATCTTAGTAAGTGCCTTAGCTTTTTCCCAGTAGTGTTTTCAACCCCAGATGTAAGCCAGAGGCACAAACCCTGTTACTATGATTGTGCAACCGAAGGGTGATTGAGAAATACTGATTTAGGCTTGAGACCATTATTTGAAAATCAGTCGCTTTAGCTGAACTGAACAGTAGACTCAGTCACCTTGGCATCGCTTAGGCACATGTGCAAATGAAGTTAATGATGGGACTGACCTCAGGGTCGTTGTAAAGATCACGATACTGGGCTTCTCAGTCTGGGGAGATTTTGTTCCCTGAAGACATGGTTGAATTCTATTGGAGACATTCGTTCTCACAGTGGTGGTGGTGGCATTTTGGCTTCAGTGGGTACGTGGAGGTGTGCTGTTGAGCTGCCTGCCGTGATCCCCCACAACGGTCATCTGGCTGTGAGTGTCCACAGCATCTGGCTGAGGAACCCTGAGAGGAAGTGCCTTTCCTCCTAGGGTGCCAGGGGACTGGGTGATTTCACTTATATCGTCAGTCGGGGTGCCGTTAGTGTGAATATCCAATTCCTATTCTGGCCTCAGGATTCATTTTTAAAAAGGACAAGAGTACTTCAAAGTTGAATAAGTTAAATTTCCTCCTCTTTAATTATCTGTAAAAAGTAAAATAGAGAAAATACTAAACTTTTATTCATTAGTGTCAGTTTTAATAAAATGTTTATTTGGTGAAGAAACTTTCATTGTTCAAATGAATTTAAATTACAAAACTCATCCAGATACTTTTGTAAATAGACATTGCAGGGCAGACTGGTAAACTTGGATTATTCATACGGTATCTTTCATCTTAATTATTTTTAGATGTTAGCATTTTCTTTTGTTTCACGTTTCTTTCTATGCATCTTATTGATTATATAGAGTAGTGGGTTTCATTTTGGCAGATTTGCACATACGTGTAACATGCTTTGGTCATTTTCACCCCCATGTCACTTGTCTTGCCCTGCCTTCCCTCCTAGTTCACAGTTTTTGAGGGTTTTCAATGCACACTGTAGTAGTATTTTCTAATTAATTTTGGGGGGGATTACTCTTCCTATAGGTATTACCTCATTTGGGAAGCCTTTGGAAGCAGGAAAAAAATCCTAACAAAATGTCGACTTTTCGAAATCATTGTCCACATTTGGATTCAGTTGGTGAAATAACAAAAGAAGATTTGATACAAAAATCGCATGTAAGATACAGTCTTCCTTAAATTATATTCATGTTTTCCTCAATATGTATTTTTTATAAATTACCACAGTACTCTGTGGGTCCCAGTTTTTATAATACATGAAGTTACTAGTGAATTGTGTAGTTTGATTAAATCAGTATAACAAATGTTATCTTTTTTTTTTTTTTGGTTTTTTCTCCGGTACCAGGAACTGAACTCACGACCTTGCGCTTGCCAGGCAGGCGCTTTTGCCGCTGAGCTAAATCCCCAGCCCCAACAAATGTTATCTTAAAAATAAACGTTATCTTTAAAAATTTTTTTTATAGGGTACTTGTCAGGATTGTAAAGTCAGAGGACCAAATCTTTGGGCATGCCTGGAGGTAAATATGTGTGTGTGTGTGTGTGTGTGTGTGTGTTTCTGAAAAGCTTTTTCTAATGAGTTTAGATCTGAAAAATGCTGTATTCACAGCTTTCCTGTTGCTTTAACAATTCTTGACACCCGTCAGTTAAAGAAATGGCTTGTTTTGGCTCAGTTTGAGGTTGCAGTCCGTGGTTGTGTCTCCAAGGCAGAAGCAACCTGGTGGGGGGGCGGGCGCAGGGAAGCTGTTCGCTCCATGGAGGAGGGGAAGAGTTCTGGAGAGAGGAGGGGCCCGGGACCAGGCCCAGTCCCCTAGGTCACCTGCCCACGACCTCCCAGATACCCCACAAGGGTGCTTTACCCATCTTCTGGGCGGCTGTCCAGCTGGTGAAGGTGACTGTCAAGATTAACTGTCACAGGTGATAACTAAAATTTTCTTGACAATAAAGAGAATTTTATGAATGAGCATACATTGATAACAAAAAGTTAAACTTTAAACTTTGGAAGGACTTTTAACTTACAGTACTATTGCAGAGTTTTACTAAATCACTCTGAGCTATTTAAACTTGTTTTTATTGGCAGTGACATAACTTTCAGCTTTAGTTGGCTATATTCTGGCTTTATTTTGTGTCTTCACCGACTATGAAAATAATTTAATCATTAAACATGTAATCAAACATTCGTAAATATAATTTTAATGTTATTACAAATTTAGGCATGTTATAAAACACTTTCTCTTCTTGTATAATTATTTACAGAATAGATGTTCATACGTTGGTTGTGGTGAGTCCCAAGTAGATCATAGCACTATACATTCTCAGGTATGTATAAAATACTGTTTTTTCCCCTTTTTTTGGTTTTTCGAGATGAAGTCTCACTATATAGTTCAGGCTGGCCTTAAACTCACTGTGTAGGCAAGGCTGGCCTCGAATTTATGGTGATCCTCCTGGCTCAGACTCCTGAGTGCTGGGATTACAGGCATGCGCAACCATGCCTGGCTTATATATAATAAATATTAATGCATGACCTTCATTCATTCATTTTTTTTAAAAAAAAATTTTAAAGTTTCGGTGTTTTTGAGACCGGATCTTGCTATGTAGTATAGGGTGGCCTTGAACTAACTTATGTAGCCCAGGGTAGCCTCTAACTCACAGCATCCTCCTGCCTCAGCCTCCCGAAAGCTGGGGTTATAGCCATGCTCCAGCACATCTGGCTCATTCATTTATTTTTTTGAGGCCTTGAACTCACTGTAGAGTAACCCAGGCTGGCCTCCAACTCATGGTGATCCTTCTACTGCTTCAGGCCTCCCGAATGCTGGGATCACAGGCATGTGCCTGCTTTTTGTTTTTGTTTTAATTTTTGTTAGTACATGTTTACAGTATGAGTGGTTACATTATTATGGACAGTTGATGCATGACAATGTTTTGTGTTCCCTTCTCCTCCTACCTTCCCCTGTCCTGTCTCTATATTGCAAGACTTTTAAAAAAAACTTATTTTGGGAGAATTGTAAAATGAAAGATAATTATTTTATTTATTTAGCTTCTGGCGATTGAACCCTAGTGATCCTAGGGCCTTGTGCACACTAAGCGTGTGCTGTTCTACTTAACTATATACCTCAAACCTTGCAAGGCAATTTTTAAAGATGGCCTGAGGAAAAGGGAGTGCCAATGTAACATTGATTCACATTCTAACTTAAATTTTTGTTCTTTTGGCTTTTTTGAGACAGGATCTCACTGTGTAGCTCAGGCTGGCCTTGAACTCATGGTGATCCCCCTGTCTGAGCCTCCTAAGTGCTGGTATCACAGGTGTCTGCCACGGCGCCCTGCTACAGTAGTGACTGAAGAAGCATACGTTCAGCTGGGCGTTGTGCTGTGTGCCTTCCTTCCAGCACTCTGGGAAGCTGAGGCAGGAAGATTGCAAGTTCGAGCCCAGCCTGGACAACTTAGCGACTTAGTGAGACCCTGTCTCAAAGAAAAAGGGGCTGGGGATCTAGCTGAGTGCTTAGTCCTGAGGATTCAGTTCTCTAGTACCGAGGGACTCAGGGGGAAGTAGTGTACATCCCAGTGTGTGACGTGATAGGTGGAGTATTAGGAGGTTGTAGAGGTGGCAGTCAGACCAGATGCTTGTGTTCATGACGTGAACAGCTGACTGTGTTCCATCTTACCCTGTGTTGCCTTTCTCTGCACATCGTCCTAGCTGCAGTCCCCTTACTACTTTGCTCTGGTTGTTTGGTGCTTTCCACATAACTCTGGCGTGCATCTTCTGTAGTATTTGGTATATTTCCCATTCTAAAATGTAAGTTTCTCAAATGAACTGTGTTTCAAGATGCACATTGCTATCTGTGCATTATTTACTGTTCTCAACCAGGATTCTTCAAGATAATTAAACCCAGATACCCAAGGCTCTTTGCTTCTGTGTTCATCTGGAATGGTACTTGCTATGTATCTACTATCCTTGGGAGAATTGCAAAACAGTCAGTCAAATCATTTTCTGTAGGGCTAAATCCTCTTGGAGAGCTCTGGTTGGGAAAGGCTGGAGTTTATGTGGCCCAGATCTTACACTCCCTGTGTCTTGAGTGTTTCGTGTGTTGACTGATGTCACTTGTGTTCTTTTGCCAGTCTCATTTTCTAGAATAGTTACTACTATTGTTCCCTACTTTCTCTTTGTCTCCTTGGTAGTGCTGGGTATGAAACCCAGGGCCTTACAGTACTAGTCAAATGCTTCACCCTCGAGCTCCCTCATCCCCTCGATCTCCTATGTTGTACTTGTTTGCTTATTGCAGAGCAGTCTTAAATGCTTGCATTTATCTTTGTATAATTGATAGTGGGAGGAAAGGACTAGAGTCACTTGGAGAGCAGGCTTAGACACGGTATATTCACTATACTTTAACAGTCTTCGTAAAGAAATGTTTTTGTTCTAGATTAGCTCTTTTGAGTATACTGTTGTTAACTAAAAGCTAGTAGTTTATCTGTGTTTTTTGAAGAAGTATTTCCAATATGTCTAATTTTGACTCCTGTCTCTCTCCTGTGAAATTATACAGGAGACAAAGCACTATTTAACTGTGAACCTTACCACTCTTCGAGTATGGTGTTATGCTTGCAGCAAAGAAGTGTTTTTGGACAGAAAATTAGGAACTCAGCCTTCATTGCCTCACGTAAGACAACCTCAGCAGATACAAGACAGCAATATCCAGGTAACCTGAATTTATTTAGTTAAGATAGCAAATATTTAGGTAATAATTTCAGACTTTTTTCATGTAATTAAAATTTTTGTATTTATTTATTTTCTGGGAGCCTGCACCAACCCCCGTAATTGAAATTAATTAATTAATTTGTAATTGAAATTTAAAGGGATCCTGCTTCACCTCACACGCTTAAAACATTAATGTGTCACTGCTGCTCTCTCTGTCTCTGTGTAGCACAGTGATAGAGTAGGGAGACATTGAAGCCCTCTGAGGATGAGAACACACCTAGTGAATTTTAAAACTTTTGTAAAAAGTGGTTCAAGTAATATTTATCTTTTTCTAGCAAATCTGAGTCTAGCAGAGGTACTGGCCTTCTCTGATAGGGAGTGGCAGGTACCAACTGAGTGTCCTTTTCTCCTTCATTCCCCTCCACTCCCATCTGTATCACTGTGAACATCTTCCTGATTATTGAAAACTAGATAGAACGTAATAAAACAGCGTCAGTCTTAAGGAGTTTTCTCTTGTTGGAGCAAGAGACTTAATAAAACATATATGAGCTTGGAAGATTAATCACTTTAATTTTCATAAATTTCCAAGCATATAAAAGTAGGACAAAAAGTCAGCCATGGTGGTGCATGCCTGTAATCCCAGCACTTGGGAGGCTGAGGCAGGAGAATTGACGTGAATTTGAGGCCAGCCTGGACTATATAGTGAGTTCAAGGCCAGCCTGAACTGCATAGCCAGACCTTGTCTCAAAAAAGAAAAAAAAAGAAAGAAAAGGAAATTAGAATAGCCAGCTGCTGACTTACTCTGGTTATCATATGGTCAGATTTAATTAACAGGTTTCTTTTTTTCTCATGTGTATTGTAAAAATCATGTTGTGTTTCTGTACTATTCTTTGATACGAATTCATATTTTTCTGTATCTTCATAGCACATTTCTGATGCTACACATGTATGACAATGACTGCTTGGCTCATATGTACTATATAACTTAAGATGGGTAGATCTTACACAAGGAATATTTGGGGTTATTGGTTTCACAGTTGAATGCTCTAGTTAGTAATAACCATTACCGTTTCTTCCACTGATGCTTATCATTCACACATGTGCTTGGTAGTTTTTGAAACTCTTAATAGTGTGCAATAGATGAAAATAATTTTTTGCCAGGCATGGTGGGGCATGCTTGTAATCCTAGCACTTGGGAGGCTGAGGCAGGAGGATTCTGTGAGTTCGAGGCCACGATGGGCTACAAAGTGAGTTCAAGGGCAGCCTGCATTTACATAGTGAAAGCCTGTCTCAGAAAAGACCAAAAAAAGGAAAATAATCTTTTAAATGCTCTTCTGTTAACAAAAGTGCGATGTGGTAATTAAAAGTTCAGCTATATAAGGAGCCAGTATATAAAGGGCAAAAGTTTTAGCATTACTTTTTTTTTTAAGTTTTTGATACAGGATTTTGCTATGTAGTATAGGCTGGTCTTGAACTCATGGTATGGCCAGGCTGGCCTCGAACTCAAGATAGTCCTCCTGCCTCAACTTTGCAAATGCTGGGATTGTAGTTCTGTGACATCAAGCCCAGCTAACATCACTTTCTAAAGAAAAATAAATTCACAATGAAACTCATTATTTTGTGCAGTTAATATGCACTATAAAAACGGAACAACGGAAAAGATTGCTAAGATGTGTTACTGAATTCGGTAATGGTTCAGTTTAAATTCAGAAGTCAGTTGTAAAATGTGGCTTCTTACTAAGTACAAATGTTAATAAAACCAAGATGATATGCTATTGCAGTAGTTGGTAACTCCACAGATTCTTAGGATTGACATCTCTTATGACATCTATTAATATGCCATCTATTAATAATAGATAACTCCTTTTTATAGTATAGATGTTACATAAGTTTAAAGTTTTTAAAAATTTACTTAGTTGTATGCTATTTTTTTTTTTGGTATTAAGGATTTTAAAATACCTAGTAATACAACACTGAAAACTCCCTTGGTTGCTGTATTTGATGATCTGGATATAGAAGTAGAAGAAGAAGGTGAACTGAAGGCAAGAGGTAAAATAATTCTGTGTAATGCTCCTTTGTTTGGTACTGCCCATTTCTTCAGGAGACCATGTAATTGAAAATTTCCGAATCTAGAGGTGAAAGAGAATGGAGATAATAACAATAAAGAACCCAGAAATCTGACCCAGTTTAATTGTATTTTCAGGTAAAGCAAACTTACAGTTTCTCTGATGTCACTGTAATAAAGCTGGACCCTAATTACTCTTAGCAACTGCGCCTTCTGGTGCTTTGCTAAATTTAACTTCAGAGATCTTGTCAAACAGTGGTCCTCCACCCGCTTAGCTGTGTCTGCCAGTGATGCAGGCTGGGGAGGGTAAAAAAATCTCCCCTTAGAAATTTCTGAGGACCGCATTCATTTGGAGAAAGAATCCGCTCATTCTTGTAGACCTCTGCTCTGCGGCTCCCTCATTCTCCCTCCGCTCCCACACTGGGAACCGGTGTGTCAGGATTTTCCACGGCTTTTAGTATGAACTTTATTTTTCTGAATTTTTATTAGTGCATTTGCAGTGCATAATGGTCACATTGCTCGTGGGGAGTCGGTAAATGCACATAACAATCTTAATTCTTTTTTCATCCCCTTCTAAGTATAAACTTTAAATTTTCTGTTTTATAATTGATAGTAGAGTATAATTACTATGTCAACTACCTGGGAATTAATACTTTGGTATACAATTAACATTACTAGAGATAATATATACTTTATATATTTGATTTTAGTCCTTTAATTTAGCCTACAGTATTTATTTTATTGAAGGCTTACTGACAGTTGTTATTAATTAAGCTATTTTCTTAAAAGTTGAAGTTTCTGGACAGCTCAGTGATAGAGTACTTGTTTAGCGTGTGCCAGGCCCAGGGTTTTATCCTCAGCACTGCAGAAGTGGGTAGGGATATATTTAAATTTTGTTTTAAATTTTGTTTCGTTCCAGATTTAAAGAACTTTCTAATTTTATTTTTGAAATGTTTGTTTTTCATCTTTTTCCCCCCTAGTACTAGAGGTTGGATATTGGGGCGCTCTGCATTCCCAGTCTATTTTATTTTTTATTTTGAGACATGGTCTTGCTAAGTTGTCCAGGCTGGATTTGTACTAGCAATTCTCCTGCCTCAGTCTCTCTAGTGGCTGGGATTCCAGGTGTGGGCCACCATCCCTCAACTCTGTCTTGTTGTTGTTGTTGTTTTTGTGCTGGAGATTGATCCCAGGGCCTCGTACATGCTAAATGTGCCATACCACTTAGCTCCATTTCCCAGTCCCTATTTAATGATGCAGTAAACTGATGAAAGTGAATTTGAAAATGTATTGGAGCTGGGGATTTAGCTCAGGGGCACAGCGCCTGCCTGGCAAGCACAAGGTCATGAGTTCGATTCTAGAAAAAAAAAAAAAAGAAAAAAAGAAGAAAATGTATCGAAGAGATAAAAATTGTCCAGTGGCTCTTTTATTGTATTAGCTTGACTCATAGAAAATGGATGATGTGTAGATGGAATGTCAGTAATTTCTTATGGCTCAGAGTAACACATCCTGCCTTCAGTGTAATATGTTGAAATGAGAAGGAAAAGGATGTTTGTGTATTACTTGTTGTGATAAGAGTTTTTTGCATTGCCACCAACCTATTTTGTCACAGTAATTAAACTTTGGTTATCATGAGCAGTATGTTTCATCTAGTGCTCTTTAAAAGTACTTACTTGTTCTTAGTTAAAATTAGGAAGGGTTGTTCTGTAAATCTCAGAGGTTGAACTAACTAATCCATGGTATGTATGTATTTATTTATTTAGTTATTTTATTTTGTTTCCTGGGGATCAAACTCTTTAATATGCTAGGCAAGTGCTCTGATCACTGAGCTACATCCCCATCCCTGAAATAACTGGTTCTTGAAATTATCTAAAGCTCAAAAACTTTGGTGATTGCAAGTGTGACTTTCTGAGTTGTTTAAATTACTATTTTCTATTTCTTTTTTGTGCTGGGTTTTGAACCCAGGACTGTGTGCATACTGAGTGCTTGCTTCACCATCAAGCTGTGCCCCATATTTTCATATGCTTTAGGGTGTGTGTGTGTTGGGGGGGCATTGGGATTGTATCCAGGGTCTCGTGCATGGTAGGCAAGTGCTCCTTGTTTTTACTTTTGAGACGAGGTCTGGCCTCCAATTTGCAGTCTTGTCTGTGCCTCTGAAGTAACTGGGACTACAGCGTATGCCGCCACACTAGGCCCAGTTGTTAATGTAGATTTGGAGGTATAATACTTAACAGACTCTCAGAAAATTGAGTCATTTTTGTATTAAATGATGACATATTTTTTCTTGGCAGGTCTTACAGGTTTGAAAAATATTGGAAATACTTGTTATATGAATGCAGCTTTACAGGCTCTTTCTAATTGGTAAGTAAAGAAATTTTTTGTTTATGTATTTTTTAAAGTGACTTTTTGAGCTGAAAATCATGTGATTGCAGCAGTTGACTAACTCTTTAAGTAGAGAAGGCAAGAATCTGGATTAGGCTGGCTGAGGCATTAGGATCCTTCCAAGTTTGAGGGCAGCCTGGGCTACATAGTAAGATGAAGACCAGCCCGAAATACATAGGAAGATACTGTTTCTCCTTCTTTCTGTTTTGTCTTTTTGAGACTAGGTCTCGCTATGCAGTTCAGGCTAGCTGTGAGCTCACTTTGTAGCTCAGGCTGGTCTCAAACTCACAAAGATCCTCCTGCCTCTGCCTTCTCAGTGTGAGTGCTGGGATTACAGGCATGTACCACCCCGCCCAGCCTGGAAGATACTGTTTCAGAAACAAAAACATAAAAGAGAAGAATTTGGGTTAGGAGTAACCCATTATTGCCCCTGGGGTTACTGTATATGTGTCTATAGTTTCTTAGGTGCTGCTCTTGGCTTCCATTGTAGGTAGTTGTCTGTGTTTGAGCAAGTTATTTTCACATACAGAAAATGAAGAGCTTGAGCAGATTAATTCTTCAGATTACTTTTGGTTTGAGGGCCCATGGAAACTTTTTTCTGTAAGTTAACTCTAATAAAGCTTTTTTCTGTAAGTTAACTCTAATAAAGCTTTCAAATTTTTGTTTTTAATCATAGCAACTAGATAGGGTGGGTATTACATTTATTTTTAGGTGTATTTACTCAGGAAATTAGAGTCATTGTTTGACATTGCCCTTTCTACTAAATTGAATTTAGCAGAAATGGTTGGAGATCAAATATATTCATACTTCTTTTAATTTTTTTAAATTTAAATTTAAATTTTTTTTCTTTGATACCAGGAATCGAACTTAGGGCCTTGCACTTACCAGGCAAGCACTGTGTTGCTGAGCTACATCCCTGGCCCACTTCTTTTTAGGTATTTTTGTTTAGCTCTTCTCTATTAATACTTTTCCAGCAGTAAATACTCTTAGCTTCCAGTTAGGTTACGTTCTATAACCCTTTGGAAAAGGGAATTCAAACTTTTTTTTTAAGATAAAAGAACACTTCTTTGAAGAAATGGCATTGAATCTGAAACGTGCAGGATGAGTATGAGCTGGCTATGGAAGGATAAAGAGAACATCTAAAGGGAAAGAAAATACTTTCTGTAAGCAGCCCTGAACGGGAAGGAGCTTGAGCCTTCTGAGGGACTGGGAGAAACTGTGGGACAAGAATAGGGTCACGTGGGAGTGAAGGGTACTGGCCCGGCCACTAGGCCGTATTAACATACAGGTCTTCATCTGCAGTGAGGTGTTTTTACAGTAGGGTCGCTAAATACTCTAGCTTACATTTTTAAAAGATCATGATGATTGGTATGTGGATGGTGGGTTGGAGGGGCGGAGAACAGAAATTTGAATGCCAGCTAGGAGACTGTTGTAGTAATGTAGGCAAGAAGTATAAAGTGTTGATTTGAGCCACCAGCAGTTAACAGTACCATGTGCTAGAATGTAGAAGGGAGGAGGATTAAAAGTGAAGCTTTTAGCCGGGCATGGTGGCGTATGCCTGTAATCCCAGCACTCAGGAGACTGAGGCAGGAGAGTCTTTGCCAGTTCGAGACCAGCCTGGGCTACAAAGTGAGCTCATGGCCAGCCTGAACTGCATAGTGAGACCCTGTCTCAAAAAGAAAAAAAAAAAAGTGAAATTTTGAACCTGTTAAATTTGAAATGCCATGACAGCCAGCAGTCAGTTTGGGTACCTGATGTAAATGGAGTTTATGTATTTATTTGTTTGTTTGTTTGAGATAAGGTCTTGCTATATAATGCAGGCTGCCCTTGAACTCACTTATGTAGCCCGGGCTGGCCTCACATTCATGAGGATCCTCCTGCTTCAGTCTCTGAGTGCTGGAATTACAGGTGTGTGCCACCACACCCAGCTCACAAATGGAGTTTAGATGAGATATATGATATATAAATTTGGCCATCACTTTCACATGGGTAGGAATTTAAGACTGCCTAAGAAAAAGCGCATACTTGGAAGATTGGACAAGGTGTAGAGTTAATCCCACCATAGATACCCCGGGAGGTCACTCTCCCTGGGCTGTGTCCTGGTGTCATAGGGGAGCATAGGGCTCTACCCCATGATATACAGTCCCTTTCCACAACATTGGAGAGGAAGCTGGGCCTCGTGTCTGCGCCTGCATATTCCTACAGCTTCTCAGAGTCCTTTGGACAATAACCGAGGAGATAAACTATGCAGGAAACAATGTAAAAAAAAAGGTATAGGGTCAAGTCGAGAGGCAGCCTTGTATTTGATGTACAAGGGTAGAAAGAGCAATAAAATGGGAAACAGACTTGCCCAAGAGGTGAAGAAGAAAAGCAGAGGTTTGTGTAATAATGGGAGGTGACACGTGGTCCTGAGAGAGTGTTAAAGGGGTGAACTGGATCAGACAGCATGGAGGACTCTGATCTGGCCTGGCCAAATCTAATTTGATGTATTGGGCTCATTAAGGCTATGAAAAGGTAAATGTGAAGCTGTAAAGACAGCAGTGAAAGACCAGGTATAGGGGTATATGTGCTGGCAGTTCATTGAATGACTAGAAGTTGATCAGTGTTAAGCTTTGATTCCGCTCTTTTTCTGTTTTCTAAATTAGCCCACCGTTGACACAGTTTTTTCTGGATTGTGGAGGATTAGCTAGAACAGATAAGAAACCAGCAATTTGTAAAAGTTATCTCAAACTTATGACAGAATTGTGGCATAAAAGCAGGTATGTACTTAATATGTTTACCTCCTTCATTATTAAGTGAATAATATAAATATTAAAGGAATATAGCCTTGTAGAGCTGGAGAAAAGCAGAAGAGAGATTGAGGAGTTAGTTAAATTTGGGGTGTGCTGTATCTGAAATAATGTCAAAATGAAGAAGTAGAGGATGTACATGGTCTGGAGATGGTTTTTTTTTTTTTTGGTTTTTCTCTGGTACCGGGAACTCTCACGACCTTGCGCTTGCCAGGCAGGTGCTTTGCCGCTGAGCTAAATCCCCAGCCCAAAATTACTTATCTTTTTTTTTTTTGGTTTTTTTCCGGTGCCGGGAATTGAACTCATGACCTTGCACTTGCTAGGCAGGCGCTGTGCCACTGAGCTAAATCCCCAGCCCGGACTGGAGATGTTTAACTGCTAAAGCTCCTGTCCTAATGCTTTTGAGTTTCCTGTTAGACCAGCATTCGCATGAAGTGAAAACCAGACTGTGGGCGCCTTTGTGAATGTCTTCCTGCCTGTGTTTATTTGCTGTAAAACTTCTGGCTGATGGTTGTTTGCTGTAATATGTTAATTTTGTTTTAGAACTGTTCAGATAGTTGTATCTTTGAAAAACCATGCAGCGGAGCATGTGATTGTGAGGAGAGCAATAAACCCTCAGCAGTGCGGTGTTCGCAAGCACGGAATGGGGGTGGGGAGTGGGAGTGAGTCTTTGAAACATAAACGCTTTTCAGTTCATCACTTTGAACTGCTTTTAAGATAAAAAAAATTACAAAGAGTTGTTTTTAAAAATGTTTTCTTCCTCAGGCCAGGGTCTGTTGTGCCTACTAATCTGTTTCAAGGAATTAAAACTGTAAATCCAACATTTCGGGGGTATTCTCAGCAGGTCAGTTTATTGCTTTTTACTCGTTATTTTAATAATCAAATAAATTTGTCAAGTGCTATTATACTTTTTTATTTGTGGATTTATTTAATTTATAAATACACCTTATTAGTCTTTGTGCCATTACTGATAATAGTAACCCTTTAACATATATGTATTTATGTTTTTACAACGTTAAGCTTTATGGATATTTTTCTCGAAACTTTGAAGGTGGGTAAATATGTACATTTGTACATATATATATACACACACACACACACACACACACATATGTGCATGTATATATATTCTAGTGTCCCTTGATATGAGTCCCACATCCAGAGATCAGATAAATTTTCACCTATATTTCCAATATTTTTTGCTTTCACTTTTGAATTTAATTTTTCAACACATGAAGCATTTATTTTGAAGTACAAAATCCCAATTTTTTTTCACAGTTAAGAAATTGTACCAAACTGTGTAAATCTAAGAAGTCTTTCTGAGTCTTTTCTTCACCCCCATTTCCCAGTTTTGCTCTTGCCATGGGTATGAACCCAGGACCGGGTGAATGGCGGGAAAGTACCCAACCCTGAATGACAACCCCAGCTGTCTGGACTTTCTAGTGCCCTTCCTTGTCCTGTCTGTTTAAAAAAATTTTTTTGTGTGTGATTGGAGTCACATGGCAGTTACAGTTGTAGATTTTGAGTTTTGTTACTGTTTTGGGGTTTTCTTGGTGTGGCTAGGGAATTCAGGGCCTTGTACATACTAGTTAAGTGCTATACCTCTGAGCTACACTTCCAGGTCTTAGTTGTTGTAGTTTTTACTGCTAACTTTATTTATCTTCAGTTTTTTTTGAGGCATCTCATTGTATAGTTCAGGCTAGCCTTGAACTCACTATGTAGTTTAACCTGGCCTCAAACTTGCAGTGATCCTTGTACCTCAGCCTGACTGCTGGGTTTATAGGCGTGCACCACCATGCCTGGCCTATATAGTATCTTTAGTATTTATAGTCATCCTCACGTGGTTTTCTTTTTTTTTTAACAGTTACCTATTTCCCACTTTGAGAGAGATAGAGACTGTGTGTGTGTGTGTGTGTGTGTGTGTGTGTGTGTGTGTGTGTGTTAGTTCCTTGGGATCAAACCTTGGGCCAGGTATATGCTAGGCAGGTAAGAGCTCTACCACTGAACTATATTCCAACCCCTGTTTATTTTTATCCCATGCAAAGTCCTGGGACTCCAGGAATTATAATTTAAGTGCTTTGATTTGGGATTCAGGAATTTGTTTTTTATTTTTGTGTTTTTGAGACAAGGTCTTGCTATGTAGTGCAGGCTGGGCTTGAGTTCCCGGCAACCATCCTGTGTCAGCTTCCTGAGTGCTGGAATTACAGGGTTGTACCACTATGCCCAGCTGGGCTCAGGAATTTGTATTTTCAATAGCACTTGAGATTGATCAAACACTTTTTTTGTTTTTATTTATTTTTTGGTACTGGGAATCGAACTCATAACCTTGCTCTTGCCAGGCAGGCACTCTGCTGCTGAGCTATATCCTCAAAGACTTTCCGGTTCAAGAGTGAATAAAGCTTTAACTTAAGCCAAACATATACTCTAGTATTTGAATGTAGGACATCTCTCTGAATTCTAATCGTCTTACCTTCTATTTTATTAATAGTAGCGCTAATAATAGCTGACATTCAGATCATCTTCATTTTATTGAAACTTTTGTTTTATTTACATAACTTTTTTGTGTTACTAGAGATTGAACCCAGGTCCTCACAAACGCCAGCGCAACCTTGCTACCACTGAGCTATATCCCCAGACCTCTTTTTAAAATTTTGAAACAGAGTTTCACTATGTTGCCCTGTGTAGCTTGAGCTTGCGAGTCTCCTGTCTTAGCACCCTCTCAAGTAGCTGGGAATGTACAGTTGTGCACCACCATGCCCAGCTTTAATTATATAACATTTTAGAACTCAGTGTGTCCAGTCTCTCTAGTGCAGTGGTGGGGAACCTATGGCATGTGTACCCCAGTGGGCTTTTTGTATCATTGAGAACTCTAAAAGGTTTGCCATCACTGCTTTAGTGTCATGTTGTAGAAACTGGTATTTCCTTAGGATAATGCAGTACATTTATGAATCAGCACATTTTGTCTGTTTTTCCTTAGTTCCTACGTATGTGCATGATGAAGTGGTAACATTATGTTGTTGATATATTAGGATGCTCAGGAATTCCTTCGATGCTTAATGGATCTGCTCCATGAAGAACTGAAAGAGCAGGTCATGGAAGTAGAGGAGGATCCTCAAACCATAACTGCTGAGGAGACCATGGAAGACGACAAGAGCCAGTCAGACGTAGATTTCCAGTCCTGTGAATCTTGCAGCAGCAGTGATAAAGCAGAAAATGAAAATGGCCCCAGAGGCTTTCCTGAGGATAATAATGAAACAACGATGTTAATTCAGGACGAGGAGAACAATTCTGAAATATCAAAAGATTGGCAAAAAGAGAAGATGTGCAATAAGATGAATAAAGTAAATTCTGAAGGAGAATTAGATAAAGACAGAGACACTGTGTCAGAAACAGTGGACTTGAACAACCAGGAAACTGTCAAAGTGCAAATACACGGCAGAGCCTCAGGTGACCATTTCATCACTGGATCACTGAAATGATAGTGTTCATTTGTAGACAAGGAGTGCTTAACTGATGGTTACTGTGGGAATTTCTAATTAATGGCCTTATAGTGCAGCAGTGTTTGCATGTGAGTGTCACAGAATGATGGAATATGAGGATAAGAATTTTATAGGTCATTTAATTACAAGAAATTCATCCTCTTTTTGAACAAAGATTAATTACAAGTCTTTTAAAGATTCAGAGTAGTATAGCAGATTAGAATAGAATCAAGAGATGAAGGGAGGAGAGAGAAGAGGGGAAAGGAAAGTAAAAAATAAATTTTTGTTGTGTGCATGGCGCCACCTCCCCATGGGGAATGTAATCATGTTGTGCAAACGTGTGCTAATGAAAAATTTTTAAAATTAGAAAAAAAATAGTCCAGCAAATTAGACTCTAGAATTTTCCATTTAATCTTAAGAAATTGTGTTGAGACTTTGGGGAAAAGCAAAATAACCCAAGTTGCAATTTCTTCAGTATACACTCTGTTAGATTCAGATTGCTGTCACTGGAGTTGCAGTGTAGCAGTTTAATGAGTCCTGTTATGATAGATTATGCCATAATCCTGGTCAGTGTTCCTCTGAGAAAGAGCAAGTAGTGAAATGAAAGATAGTTTTTTTTATTTTGTTTTGTTTTCGGTACCAGGAATCGAACTCACGACATTACTCTTGCCAGGCAGGCACTGTGCTGTTGAGCTAAATCCCCAGCCCCAAAAGATAGTTAAATTATGAAGGCCATGTCTGTCTGTCTGTCTGTCTGTCTGTCTATATATATATAGAGGGAGGGAGAGATAAATTGCTTTAAGAGTTACCTTAATCTAGTATTTCATTCTCCAAAGTACATAAAATTAGACCATCAGAGATTCAAGTTATGTGGTGTTTGTTTGATTTTGATTTTATGAGACAGTATCTCTCTCTGTAGTTAAGCCCAGTCTTGAACTCACCATGTAACCCAGGCTGGCCTTGAACTTCTAATCCTCCTGCCTCAGCCTCCCAAGTGGTGGGATTACAGGGAAGAATCACCAGGCCTGGTGCAGGTTATGTGATTTTTAAGATAAGTGGCTGACAACAGACAAAGTGTATCTTCTATAATTAAAGAAGAGTGAGTGCTACTAAACTGTTTAGGTATTTGAATAAATACAGAGTTCTTTCCGAAGGAAGACTATTTCTTAGCCTGAGGAAGGCTTGTGTTTCTTCTGTCAGGAGAATTAAAAATGTAAGGTTCTTTTAGAAGTAGCTTAGTGAGTAACCGTTTGACATGGCAGTGCTGAAAGACAGCCTGGACTGCTTCCTAAATCTTCCTTGTCAGAAGCCCAGGTAACCTGAGTAAGAGATGTGCAGGTTCTTCATTACTTAGTAGTGTGTTTGTTCTCACACATCATAACGAGACAGTGACCTAAATTGAGGGTCTGAGCTTTTATGGTTTTTAAAGCCTTGATGAAAAAATGTGACCAAGACCATATGGTACACAGATCCTGAAATATTTGCTGTCTAGTCGTTTATAGGAGAAATTTCAAGCCCTGACGTAGGTCACATTTTCTTTTTGCCTTTCAGAAAATCATAGTCTTTCACTTTCAGTAATATGCAGCTTGATTTAGTAGTAGTTGACATATTGAAAAATGCCTGTGTGAAAAATGATTTTACATTGTCTGGAAAAATCCTGTAGATATTCTGTTTCAAGGTCTTTTATGAACAGTTTTTTTCCATTGAAGTAACTCATTTAGCATAACATCCTGCTTTGTAATATGTGTTAGGTGCTAGGGACCTGTCAACAGATGATCGCAGTAGTTCTCATGGAACTCATTTTCTTGTTTCATAATTTAGTTCTATAAATATCTTTTCCTTATGAAGAGGTGTGTGTTTGCTTTTTGTCACAGTAAGAATATTTGTAATTATTTTATGTCTGAACTTCCTGTTTGATTTTGATGTCTGTGTTAGTAGGGAGAAAAATCTCTTCCTTCTACTTAAAAAAAGCAAAACAAAACAAAACTCCTGGGCTGGGGAGTGAGCTCAGTGGCCGAGCCCTTGGGAGCACATGCGAGGTTCTGGGTTTCATCGCTGGCACAGCAGAGAGAATGAAAGAAAGGGAGCGGGGTGGGTGTGGTGGTGGACAGACGCCCGGCGTGCACTCGCTTGGGAGGTGGAGGCCAGAGGGTGCATGGTAGCCTGGTCAACATGGCAACCCCATCTGTAAATAACTAAGTAAATAACGAATCCACTCCTGGATGTTATCTGTTAGTATATGTACTCCCAAAGCCAATACTCTGGATGCTATTTTTAAAACTCCCAAATTTAGACAAATAATATCCTTTTTTGGCTTTCTTTTCTTCCAGAAATTTAATGTGTTATAAACATCAACTGGATTCTCAGGTGGAAAATCACGGTTATTTTATTTAGCAAGTACTGTGTCAATCAGATATTTCCTCTGACTTTTTTTTTTTTTTTTTGGTACCGGGAATTGAACTCAGGACCTTGCGCTTGCTAGGCAGGCGCTTATGCCACTGAACTATATCCCCAGCCTGCCTCTGACATTTGTTAATAATGAATTATGTTCAGAATATCAAACTAAACAGTCTTTAATTAATTAGCATTATTGGACATGTGGAATAGTTTTACTATTTAACATAATAATACAAATTTTAATTATTACAGAATATATCACTGATGTCCATTTGAATGAACTGTCAACACCACAGATCCTTCCATCAAATGATGGTATTAATCCACGTTTATCAACAAGCTCTCCTAAATCAGGCAATTTGTGGCCAGGATTGGCGCCCCCACACAAGAAAGGTAAGAAGTTTCCCTTACTCCGATTCCTTTGCTTTGGGTCGTAGTTTAGAATGCTTAGTTTAGAATGTGATATTTTATAATTTAAAATGTTAATTGTGAAATAATATCTGTCCTTTAAAAATAACAGAATTCTACACAATCATGATTTAAAAATTTTTTGTGTATGGCACTTATTTTAAAAATTCATTTAAATATAAATGTGGAGGCACACACCTGTAATCTCAGTGGTTGGGAGGCTGAGGCAGGAAGACCACCATGAATTCCAGGGCAGCCTGAGCTACATATTGAGTGCAAGGCCATTTGAACTACATAGTGAGCCCATCTCCAAGAAAAAAAAAAAAGGAAGGAGGTATTTGCAAATTACATAGCTGACAACTTATATACAGAAATACATAAAAAATTTTCAATAATAGAAGCCTAAACCATGCATGGTGGTATACCCTGTAATTTAATTCTAGTACTATGGGAGGCTGAGACAGGAGGACTACAAGTTCAAGCCTAGCCTGGGCAGCTTAGCAACTTAATGAGACACTGTCTCAAAATAAAAAAGGGCTGGAAATGTAGCTTAGTGCAAAGGCCCTGGGTTCAATCTCCAGTACCATGAAAGAGAGAAAGAAAAAAAATCCTTTCATCATGTAAAATAAAGCCTTACTTGTACGCACAACAAACAAATACTGTAAAAGCACAGTCACTGTGAAGTAAAAATGAGGAGGTGGATCTGTTTGTTTATTCTTAATCTTTCCCCTTCTCACTTTCTGATCTCCTTTTTTGACCTGCAGAACATAAGTAGTATTGTAGTGATGTGTGTGTCTAGATGCTTTGTTTTGCAATGAAAAAGATTTGAATATTGTGCCAAATCAGAATTTTTCATTTTCCCTTATGTATGTTTAAAGGGACCAAGAATCCTAAGTACATGTTGTAAAAACAAAACAGCCTTGTCTTACTGGTTTAACTGTTTAACATAATGTTCTTTATAGGTAATTTGAAAATTTCTGTAAGCAGAGTAATCTTTAGTGTTAAAGGTTCTAGAGAAAAATGGTAATGGAAAAATTTGACTTTTTAAAAAATGTTCTACATTTATTTTTTAATTTTAGCCCAGTCTGCATCTCCAAAGAGAAAGAAACAGCACAAGAAATACAGAAGCGTTATTTCAGACATATTTGATGGAACAATCATTAGTTCAGTACAGTGTCTGACTTGTGATAGGGTGAGTATGAGGGAATTACAATACATAAATTACTCTTTTTAAAATCTGAAAAATGGTACAAAAGATTTAATTCCTTTCTATTGCTACTATTGGTCACACATTCTTACGTTTGAATCAATATAAATTGACTCTAGGAGCAGAATTCACTGTTTTGGTTTTTTTTTTAGAATTCACTTTTTTATAAATATTAGCAACATCTTTTTAAAGGGTTGATCTTGATCCCATCTTTGGACAGACATAAATTCTCAGGAAACACTACTTGCTGTTTCCTCTATTTTGATTACAAGTAAAGGTGAGAAGTTGCTCGGCAGCAGGAATTGTTAACACACACATATTCTCCCAAGGCTGATGAAGTATGCTGGGAAACTAGTTATTCATAGGCACAAGGCAGTAAATGTATCTTTTACATTTGGTTTTACTTAATGGCTTGTAAAATATTTGTCATGCTAAGATTAGGGCTCAGATAGTAAGGGTCAAATTCATAGGCAAAAACAAGGGCATAAGTTAGAATAATGAATTCTTTAGTAACATTTTTAAAATCCTTCAAAATTTCTTAGTTTTTCTTAATTATGGTTTAACTTTAGTGCAGTAATGAATATAATTAATGAGTATGAAATGACGTCTCAAAAACAAAGCTAAGTTTTCAATTATTATGTAATACTCCTAAATCTAAGGACATTCAACAGGGTCATTTTATAGTAGATTATTTGGGGCTGGGGACATAGCTCAGTTGTAGAGTGCTTACCTAGCATGTGCAAAGGTCCAATACCCAGGGGAAACCCAATATCCCCCCCTCCTGTTGTTCAGCTGAGCGAGGTGGTGCAACACTTGTAATCCCAGTTACTCCAGAGGTTGAGGCAAGAGGATTGCAAGTTTGAGGTCTCCCGAGGCAGCTTAATGAGATCTTGTCTCAAAGTGTAGGAAAATAAAAAGGAGTGGAGATGTAGTGCAGCATTCCTGGGATCAGTCTCCAGTGTCACACAGAGCCCGGTTGTTACTCAAATGTTTTCAGCCTCAGTCATGGGCTGCATAACAGTGTTTCAGTTAGTGCCAGACTCCATATACAACTGTCCTAACAACAGTCGGTGTCCTGGTTTGTGTGATACTCTCATGTTTGCACAGTGATGAGATTACTAGAACAGTGCATTCTCAAAACGTCTCCCCATTGTTAAATAGTGCATGACTGTATTTAAGATCATATGGTGGGTTTTGTATCTTCTCTCTTGTTTAAGCAACATTTAAAAACTACCATCAGGTGGTAGTCCCAGCCACTTGGGAGGCTGAGGTGGGAAGATCACTACAGCCTAAGATTTCAAGGTCAGCCCAGGCAACATAGCAAGAGCTGGAGCTGAGGGTGCAGTGGCTGGACTGGGGTATTTCTCAGTGCCACAACGTCTGCGGCTAAGTGGGAGCCATGCTGTGGCCCTGGATAGGGTTTATATGAAGATTAAATCAGAGCTAAGTTTGGGTTTATTTTGCTTATAACATGCTTTGATCTTTGGTGTCCGCCCTCTAACCTTATAAATGTTTGTGCTGGATTATTTTCATCTCATTTTAAAAACACAAAACAATTTTAGGTGTCTGTAACCCTCGAGACCTTTCAAGATCTGTCCTTGCCAATTCCTGGCAAGGAAGACCTTGCTAAGCTGCATTCGTCAAGTCATCCAACTTCTATAGTCAAAGCAGGATCATGTGGCGAAGCGTATGCTCCTCAAGGCTGGATAGCTTTTTTCATGGAATATGTAAAGAGGTGTGTATTTATTTTCTTTGTTTTGACTGATTCCTAAAACTGCTGTTTCTGCTGTACTGGCAGAACACTTCCTTTTTCTTTCTGTCAATAATGTTTCAGGTTTGTTGTCTCATGTGTCCCTAGCTGGTTTTGGGGTCCAGTAGTAACCTTGCAAGATTGTCTTGCTGCCTTCTTCGCCAGAGATGAACTAAAAGGTAAGAATCATAATCTTTCTGTCTCTGAATTAGTGTAGGTGATTCGAAAACTGAATTTTAGGGCAGTTTACATAGCATTTGCTCATACTGGCATAATACCATAGTACTGTGGTAATAGTAATACAACAAGAAAAATCGTCTGGGCATGGTGGTGCAAGCCTATAATCCCAGCACTTGGGAGGCTGAGGCAGGGGGATCAATTTGAGTTCAAGGCCAACCTGGGCTTCAAAGTGAGTTTAAGGCCAGCCTGAACTGCATAATCAAACTCTGTCCCAAAAAGACCAAAACCAAACCAAACCAAAACAAGAAAAATCATACCCTGAAAGAATGGATACAGATTCCTGTAGTACCAGACAACATGTCTTAAAGCTCTTCAGGATTAAAAGAAGGCAAACTCAACCAAATCAATGGGACTTATTTATGTATCTTGAATTGTCTGTGAACTCCTCCGTATCATTTAAGGGCCTTCCCTGTCTTCATGTGTCTAGTACCTTGTTTGAGCATATAACAGGCTGTCAGTAAATTTGGTTCAGTGACTAAATGAAAGATGTTATTTTAGGTAGCCCTTCATAGTTGAGAGTAGAGGGAGGAGAAAGGTGTTTTAGGTAAGGTAAACATGAACTGACTCATGAACAGAAACTGAAAAAGTGAACCCTGTTTTACTGTGCGAGCATGTGGCAAGATCAGAGAGTTTCAGAACCAAAAGAAAACAATTTGCTGTTAATTTGAGAGGAATGACGTGATCTGTTCTCTTTGTAGGTGACAATATGTACAGTTGTGAAAAATGTAAAAAGTAAGTGATACAATGCTTTTAATGTCATAGTTTGTATTTTTCTCAGTTAATTGGATATGTGGAATTACACAGTTTTGTCCTAGTAATTATAAAAGTATTTAGGTGATTGGTAAAACAAATTCGAGGCAAAAATTGTAACAAGTGCAATAGGCTTATATAAGATGTTTAAAAATGTATTTTGAAGCACTAAGTATGTGAGTTTGTTTTAAACATTTTCTAAAGTAAGATAAAATTCTCTTTCCAATTACTATTATTAACAGACCAGATTCAGGAATTTTAAAGTACTGTAGTTTCAACTCTTCACAGAATTGAGAAAGATTATGCCAACTCTGATGCTGTCTGATGTTAACTTATGACAGAATAGGACAGTTAGACCTCATTGTTTTTTTAATTTAAAAAAAATTTTGTGTTTTATCTTATTTTTTCTTTTTGTTCTTTTTGAAACAGGGTCTCACTACGCAGTTCAGGCTGGTCTTGAACTCACTATGTAGCCCAGGCTGACCTTGAGTGCATGTCAGTCCAGGTGCTGGGATTACAGGCATGCACCACAGTGCCCAGTGATAGATATATTTTGAGGTAGAAGTAGCTAGGAAATTTTTCAGAATCTCTGTAACAGAAAAATAATGTCCCCCTAATAAGATCGAGAATATCAATACAGGCTTGTATTGTTCGTTGGCAGTAATACCTTACTTTGAGGTGCAGCTGTTGGTCCTTTTCATGACAGAAAGGAATGGTTGACTGTTGGGTTGATAAAGGTGAAAAGCTGCCTGGTTCTTTTGGTTTAATTCTGATGTCGATTTTTTTGTCTTGTTGATCTATTTGTGACAGTGTAGTCCCCCAGTGGGGGACAAAAGTCCCCCATTGGGCTGGGGATATAGCTCAGTGGCATAAGCGCCTGCCTGGCAAGTGCAAGGTCCTGAGGTCGATTCCCAGTACCAAAAAAATAAAAAAAAAATTAAAGTCCCCCATTACAACTGTGTTAGTGCTTATTTGATTTTTCATGTCTGTTAATATGTGTTTTATATATTTGGGTGCACTGGTATTTGGTGCGTATATATTTACGATTGTTAATCTCTTCTTGGAGTTTTCCCTTAACAAGTATGCAGTAACCTTCTTTGTCCCTTTTGATCAGTCTTAGCTTGCAGTTTACATTGCCTGCAAATAGAATAGCTACTCTAGTTTTTTTCTAGGTTCCTGTTGCCTAGAGTATTGTTTCACACCCTATAACTTTTAGTCTGTGAATTTCTTTTTTACTTAAATGTGTTCCTTGTATGCAGCACATTGTTGGATCCTGCTTCTTGATCCTTTCTGCCAATCTGTTACTTTGATGGGTGAATTGAGATAGGTGAATTTACATTGATGGTTATAACTGATATGTGTTGGCTTATCCTTCTTATATTATTTTCCTGTTGTTGGTACCCTGTCCTTCCCCTCCATTTAATTGCTTCCACTGCCTGCTTGCTTGCTATTGGTCTTCTTGGAATTTTGGTCTTCCTTATCTTTTTCTAAAATATCCTTCAAAGCACTTTGGAGAGCTGGTTTGGTGGTCATGAATTTCTTCAGTTCTTTGTTACGGAAATACCTTATTTCTCCAGTGATTTTGAAAGAGTTTTGCAGGGTACATCAATCTGGGTTAGAGGTTGTTTTCTTTTAGGTCTTGAAATACTTCACTCCAGGCTCTCCTTGACTTGATCGTTTGTGTTGAGAAGTCTGCTGCAATTCTAATAGGTTGTCCTTTATAGGTGATTTGTTTATTTTCTCAGACCACTTTTAATATTCTTTTCTTGTACTGATTTTCTGGAATCTTGATTATATGTGTTGGTGTAGTTTTATTTTGGTCATGGCTACTGGGAGTTGTATAGCCTCACTTATTTGTGTGTCACATTTTTTATCCTCGTTTGGGGATTTTCCTTCCATTATGTCTGTGAAGAGGTTTTTAATGGCATTTGAGCTGTCTCTGGCTTTCTCGTTAACTCCAGTCAGTCTTACCTTGTACGTTGTTCTTCTTTGCCTCATTTTGCAACTGTTGGATTGATTTTTATGGTCCCTTGCTATTTTTAAGATATTGTTCTTTTCATAGTTGCTAACTGCAATCCTAGATCTGTCTTCATTCAATCTATTGCAAACATTGGAACTTTTAATCTGCTGGGTATCTATTTGGATATGTTTCATGGCTTCCATTTCTTTCCTGTGTTGGGCGTCGTGGTTTCCATTGTGTTCTTAAGCTTCTCTATTTTTTTCTTAAATCTGTGTATACTCTAGATTCTTTGGGCATGTTGTTCATTTCTTTTTTTTTAACCTGAGAGATTATTTTTTCTATAGCCATATCCATTTGTTTTTTCATTTCTAGTGCTATCATTTCAGAAAGATCCAACGTGTGGCTTTGGATTTCCTCTATGTCGCTGTGCTCTAGACTTTTCTGGGTGGACTGGAGGTCTGGGGTTGCATTTTGCTTCTGCCTCTTGTCATTTCCTATGTTTTATTTTATGTGTTGGTGCTTGTCAATTTTTTATGGTAAATAGCTTTATCCCTAGTTTCCCTAGGAAATGTCTGTTTCTCCGAGCTGTCTTCTAGGTGTAGGTGGTTGTTGATCTTTGTGTCTGTCCCAAGAACCTGCCTTCCCAATTTATTAAGGATAAGAAGTTGATACTTATTTGGCTTAGCATCTCATTCTTTGGTAGTGGACTGTGGTGACAGTTATTACCCCAGACAATCAGAATGTTGTCATATGAGGGAGAAAAACTGACTCTAACACATATAATACCCTCACCAAAGTAATACAGTTAGCAATAACAATATCATCAAGCACAGCCTAGTGACTAGCAAACTGTAATAACTACAGTTCTTTAACCATAGGAGCCGGCTCTATGATTATTTAATAAAATCCAGCATATGCAATGAGTTTCCATTGGTAAATTGATTTGACCCTGTGTGGGTGGTATTTAAGAAGGATAGAGGACAATACAGAGATGAGGAAAAATGTAGTAGAAGCAAGGCTGTAAGGCTAAGGATGATCACCCAAGTTTTGGAAAGCTGGAGAATAGTACAGAAAAGTAAGGATGATATATAAAGCAAAAGAATATTGAAACAGCTGAAAAAAAGAGACAATGCTCATTCACATGAAAGTATCAAATCAAGAGCGATAGTTGAGGGAAGAGAGAAGGACTAATAGAATAAAATAAAACTACAGGTAAGAAATCTAATTAGTCAAGAGAAAAAGAAAAAAAAAAAAAAAAAAAAAGAAGACTGAACAAATAAAGACAAACAAAACAAAACAGAACAACAAAAAAATCTTGCCCCAATTAGCCTGGAAAAGGAAAATCAAACAAACAAAAAACGAAGATAATAAAATTCCTCCGGTGTCCACAATTCTGTGGTAGTGTTCAAGTCAGATCCCGGAAATGTGCTGTGTAGCCCTGCCAGTTTTGCAGTAGCATTTGTGCTGGGTGAGGGGCTGATCCTGTCATCTGGATGTGGGAACTGGGACTGGTCTTCAGCTGACCGTGTTTTGGGTGTCTACTTCTTACCTTGGTTGTCTGTGTGGTGCTCTCCCAGTTGCCATGGTGTTCTCCGGCAGGGAAAGCAGGGGTTGTTTCCAGCCCTGTGTGCATTGTCTCTTTTCAGCCCTTGCCCAGCTTTCTGTGTTCCACACCACCAGCTCCTCTCACCTGCTAATTATCGGGTAGGGAAGTGCCCAGGTCCCACCATAGGACAGGGCTGCTTGCCTGCTTGTGCCGCTGTGTCAGGGTGGCTTTGCTTGTCCCAGACTGTATGGGTGTTTCTGTCTTTTGTGTTTAGGACTAAGAGTGGCTTTTGGCAACCACCTGAGCAGAGTCTGGGTGGTCTCAGCTCCTGCCTCTCAGCAGATTTCCCCCAGCCTGCTTCCCAGCTGTCAGCAGTCTACTGTGCCTGAGTGGCTGTTCCTTATTCCACTCCGGGGCTTTGGCAGTGATCCAGGCTGGGCCTCTTGTTTTGCCAAGGTTTGCCCTGTTCCCTTTGGAGTAAGATGGTGGCCCTGCCTGCCTGTTTCTGTTCCTCTTGTCTGTGTGCAGCAGCACGGCACTGGTGCACCTCACTCACCAACTGATTTTATGGGGCCCGTGGTGGTGGGCATGGCATGCTTGCCTGTGCTTTGGGAAATACCTTAGCAGTTTGTCCCTCAGGGCCTGGCTGACAGCGGGAGAGGGCGCCTTCCTTGTAGAAGGCGGTATAGGCTAAAAAGAGAAAATAGTATAGAGGGCTGTCTCTTGCATCTATTCCCATATCCAGTGTGGAGATCTGTCAAGTATACATTAATGTTGATTAATAATAATAACCGTGCTTATGTCAAGACCCCCCATTCAGAATAAAAGTTTTGAGCTGGGTACAATGATGTGTGCCTATAGTCCCCGCAGGGAGCTGAGGAGGATCACTTGAGCCCAGGAGTTTGCAGCCATCCTGGACAACATAGATCCTGTCTAACAGAGAGAGAGACCCAGAGACCCAGAGACAAGAGACAGAGACAAAGAGAGAGAACTAAAGGTTTTAATATTGGACAACATAGTGAGATGCTGGCATAAGAAAGAAAGAAAGAGGTTTTAATATACAGTATTGCCCTGCACTACAAATTTTATAAAATTTAGGTTTTGCTTTATGCAGTTTTACTTAATATCTGGGTGTTATAAGGGTAAAGTCCAGCCATAAACTTTACTGCAGATAAAGGTTTTCTTTTTTTGTTTAATCAAAGAATTTCACAACTCCTTATACTGATATCTTGGTTTAAATTGTTTTTCAGAATAAGGGGCTCTAATGTATAAGTATGTAATATAATTCAGTGATGAGGATTTCTAGTCTGATACCTTTTATTGCATTTTCTAAAAGAGTTTTATAGTATATTTAAATACACACTCTCTTTTTTTCTTTTCATCCTTAGGTTGAGGAATGGAGTGAAGTTTTGTAAAGTACAGAAGTTTCCTGAGGTATAGACTTCAATTAAATTTATTTTCTGTGGTAAAGCATTAATAAAGTACAGTGTAGTAATAAATTCTAGTAGCATGATTGAGGAATGGAATGGTTCTGTTGACCAGTTCTCATACATACCTAATGAGGATTAATTCATTTTTAAATTAATAGGGTTATGTATTGTAAGTGCTCCTAAAAAGTGTAAAATTAGAAAGCAAGCAACATTGTATAAAAGGTATAAAGTGTAAAATTAGAAAACAAACAACACTGGCTTTAGGAGGAACCATGTTTCACCATTTCAGTTTATAAATTTCTAGCTGCTAGGGGTTGATATTTAACTTTGACACTTCAATATGAATAGATTCCCTTAGGATGTAAAACTAAATCAAAATTTTAAATAAAATTATTGGGCTGGGGATGTGGCTCAGTAGCAGAGCACTTAGCTAGCATGCACAATCCATCCTCAGTATTGCCAAAAAAAAAATTATAAATAGCATTTACTTTATTTTATAATTTTCTTTTGACTGAACACTTCAATTTCTTGCTTGTAGAATTAAGATCTTAATGTATTAAGTGTTACTACCTGGATGCTTTTAGTGTTTTGTAACAATTAGGGTTTTGGATTTTATTTTCTTTTAGATTTTATGTATCCACCTTAAAAGATTCAGACATGAACTGATGTTTTCCACCAAAATCAGCACCCATGTTTCATTTCCACTGGAAGGCCTGGATCTTCAGCCATTCCTTGCTAAGGATAGTCCGGCTCAGATTGTGACATATGACCTTCTGTCAGTCATTTGTCATCATGGGACTGCAAGTAGTAAGTATACATGTTTGACATTTGTTCTTAGATTTAAAAAATATATCTGAATAATTGCTGGAGTAAGACTCATTTGACCAAAAGAAGGAAGAATTAAAAATAGATTTTACTGCTGGTTGTTAAAAATAGATCAGACATCCAACACAATGAAATGTTAAATGTTTAATGAAATAGAAATGCTAACTGCCCTAATGTGACTGTATATGTATGTGTGTATAACCAGTTATTGTGTCCTGTCCCATAAATATATACAGTTATTATGTCACTAAAAAAAAATAGACCATTTCAGGAAATTGGATACTTTTTACTATTATATTTATGAAAACACAACTCTTGATATTTCATCTGCTGTGCTAGACACTGGGGAAGTTTATACTCCGCTCCTATGTCAGTTTGTATCACTGTAATGATTTCTTTTCCCTTAAATATAGGTGGACACTATATAGCCTATTGCCGAAACAATTTAAATAACCTGTGGTATGAATTTGATGATCAGAGTGTCACTGAAGTTTCAGAATCTACAGTACAGAATGCAGAAGCTTACGTTCTTTTCTATAGGTAATCAGAGTCACTGTCTCGTGGATAAGCTAGCTTTACAAACAGTGAAGGAGCACCCCACTCTTTGGGATTATTAGCAAGTGACTGCTGACACTTTCCGGTGAATTGCTGAGTAAAGATGAGGATTGTTTACTCTCATTAGAGTAAAATACAGTTAAAAAAAGATTGTCTGGAGAATTACATTTGTTTGTCTAACGAGTGCAAATGTTAAATCATTTAAGGAAAAGACAAAGGATTGTATTTTGTTTTAGAAAGATTGGTTTTAATTTAAAAAAGCAGGAAGTAGTAAAATTAAGTACCAGATTTCCTAAAATAGCTAATAAAAGAAATATTACTATAAAAATCTTTCATATTTTTCAGTATCTTAAGAAAGAAAACACTAGCTACTGAAGAGGAAGACAGATTAAGTATTTAGCTTGAGCTTCCTAGAAACATTTGAATACTCACCATGTGCCATAGTTACGTGGACACTACTAGTTAGGACACTGTATTGCTCCTAGAGGTGAATAACACATTTGAAGGAAAAAACCACACATTTGAGAGGTGTACAACATATATTTCTCTTGACATTATGAAGGCTTGGAAAGGCACACAGTATTAGTGTGTATGCTGTCTAATAAGGAAGAGGAAAAATCAACCTACTAGTCTAATGTAGCAAAAACATAAGGAATTTAATGAATCATTGTCCTTAAATAGGAAGAGCAGTGAAGAGGCACAAAAAGAGAGACGAAGGATATCAAATTTGTTGAACATAATGGAACCAAGTCTCCTTCAGTTTTATATTTCTCGACAATGGCTGAATAAATTTAAGACTTTTGCCGAACCTGGCCCTATTTCAAATAATGACTTTCTCTGTATTCATGGAGGTAAGGAATCCTGTCAAAGTAGTGAAAGAGATTTGCTGTTACTTTGTACATTAGAAAAGATCTGAGAATTTTCCTCTTCCATTTATTTCCCATTGCCCCCATCTGCTGTACAGTTAAACAAATTCAACTTCGTATGGTTTCAGAAATTCACCATGTCTTTCTAATCATGGGCACTGTATCGCATCTCAAATGAGTGCATGTTTATTGAGTACTTGTTTGAAACCCTGTGTGAGACCATAAAGATACCAGAGACCTTATTTCTGTTGGCAGAGCTCTAATTTCATAGCAAGCTCAGATATATAAACAACTAATTACAGTACAGTGAACCTTGTGTTTGCAGAATTCTTATCTGGGTCGTTCCCTTGCTAGTGATTTCAGCTACTGCTTATATCTAGTTCTTACTGCTTTTGTCTAAATAAATAGGCGGCTCTTTTCCTAAGTATGGAAATGTGTATTTGGGATTTAACAAGGAAGCTTCATTTTAGATATTTGCATACCAGTCATCTTAGCACTCTGGGAGGCTAAGGCAGGAGGATTGTAAGTTTGGGCCCAGACTGGGCAGTTCAGCAACTTAGTGAAACCTTATTTTAAAATATATATTTTAAAAAAAAAGGGCTAGAGATACAGCTTGGTATGAAAGCCCTGTGTTTACTGTCTAGTACTGGAGGAAAAAAAGGCCTTACTTTTAACTTTTAAGATTTATGGCTTTGTGATGAGCTGTGCTTGTGTTTGTTCCTACAGTAAGCAAGATCTTTGTGTAATGCTTTGATGCACCTTTATGGTTGAAATCTCAGTATTCTCATTAATTACATGTGTAGTGAAACCACACGGGAATATTTATTTTTTATTTTATTTATTTTTGTCTTCTTGAGACAAGGCTATGCAGTTCAGGCTGGCCTTGAGCTCACTTTGTAGCCTCAGCAGGCCTCGAACTCTCAATGATCCTCCTGCCTCAGCCTCCCGAGTGCTAGGATTACAGGCATGCGCCAGTCACCTAGCTACATGGGAATGTTCATATTGTATATAGGAACCTAAACCTTAAAAATATTTCTGGGCCTTGGGCTATATAGTTCAGTGGTAAAGTGGATGCTTAGCTTGTACAAGGCCCTGGGTTCAAACCCCTCTCCCCATTTCTGTCTGTGAATTTCAAGGTGTATACAGTATTTATCTTTAGGAAACATATTTAAAGGACTTAAAGAATAAGGCAGACCTGTCTAAAATTTTTTCAGGTGTTCCTCCACGGAAAACTAGTTACATTGAAGACTTGGTTTTGATGCTGCCCCAGAACATTTGGGATAACCTGTATAGCAGGTTTGTTTACATGCAACAGTACAATATTGTGAAAAGTCAGTTAAACTTGCTTGCAGGGACATTGTATTATTTTACAGCTGCTTCTTGTGTTGCTTATGCAGAACATTCTTTTCTCATTCATTTATTCTTTTGAACTGTGAGTAGGAGCACATAGTTACTATGTCTCTAGTCTAGATAATTCTAATTTTCATGTCCTCATTATTGGCCCATGAAGACAAGCTATGATATTTAACTTAAAGAACCTCATTTAATACATATTGGACCAGCTGTAGGTGTTGGACCGGCTGTGGTGGCGCACCCCTGTAATCCTAGCACTCAGGAGGCTGAGGGAGGGAGATCACTGTGAATTTGAGACCATCCTAGGCTACATAGTGAGCTCAAGGCTGGCCTGAACTACATAGCAAAACTCTGTCTCAAAAAGCAAAACAAAAAAGATGTTGCATATATCCAACACTAAAATTCTGCATGTTTATACTTCCCAAATTGAGTATTCTTACTCTTTTCTTTTCTTTTTTTTGGTACTGGGAATCGAACTCATGACCTCATGCTTGCCAGGCAGGTGCTATGCTGCTGAACAGTATCACCAACCGAGTAGTCTTACTCTTAAGTTTTAAAGCTTTTTAAGTTTTTAAATTTTTTTTTTTTTTTTTTGAGGCAGAGTCTCCCTATGTAAACCAGACTGGCCTTGAACTCACCACAATCCTCCAGCCTCAGCCTCCCGAGTGCTGGGATTACAAGCATGGGGCCACCATGCTGGGCAGTTTTAAAGTTTTAAATTTTCTTGTAAAATATTTTACACCAGAATTTCCAGACTGATTGTTTACCTTAAATATTAAAATTTATGCCTGAATGCTTCTTACTTGAAAGTCAGGTTTCACCTGGTTAAAACTTGACTGGCTTTATATGTATAACTGAGATTTTATTTTTGTATGCTAATTTTTAAAAACCACTTTTACTTTATTGGTGCCTTTGACATTTTGTAGCAGAAGTAGCTACAAGAGAAAGTTGAAATGCAGATAAAGCAGGTTGGGCAATACATTGATAAAGTTGTTTAATTTAGTAAATATAAAATCAAGTTCTTATATAAATTTTTAGTTTTTCCATTACTTGGAGAATTTTCCAGTGAGGTTCATTCTTAGTGGGGTTCAGCCATTGACTGAGAAATTAGAAACAACAGTATTTGGTGGGACATCAGCTGACTTTGAGATTGTCATGATTTTAATTCTGAGGTTTTCATGTCCTAGATATGGAGGAGGACCAGCTGTCAACCATCTGTACATTTGTCATACTTGCCAAATTGAGGCAGAGAAAATTGAAAAAAGAAGAAAAACTGAACTGGAAATTTTTATTCGGGTAAAGAAAGTAAAGCTTTTCAGATTGTAGATGATGTGGGATGAAGCTGAGGACCTGACAGCTAGCAGAGCTGTATTGCATTAATGAGATAATAGAGTGAAAGCATTATGATAGATTTGAGGAGTGCTGAGTGCCTACCGTTACTGATTGATCCTGTTGAGTGATTGACCTAACTGTAATTCTAGTGGGATAAATTCTCCCTTTGTGAGTATTTATTTTTATGAATTGGAAATGAATTTTGCTTTTTGTATTGGCACTGACAAATTCCTTATTAAAATGAAAAATCATAGGTGTCTTTGTTAATGTTGTCTACGGAGACTGCATTCTTATTCTCTCCTTTTCTGAAATACATTGTCTTTTGGGGACTCTGTACTTTCCGGTGTGACCCGCTTCTTTGAAGGGAGGACATTATGAGGCCCTCCTTGACTGTATGTGTCAGAAAGTCTGCTCTCAGAGTGAAAGAGCTGAGCAAGCAGTTATTATAAGCAAGGCCGCGTATTGTTCCAGTTAACCTGGGTAGCAAGAAGCCTCTTTAAGGCTCTGCTGTCCTGAGGGGCTCCGGCCACAGCCTCACGTTGGGCTGCCCGAGAGGTGGCGCGCTTGTTGGCAGTCCTTGCAGACAGCGTCGGGGAGGATGACATTGCAGGGGAAATGGAAGGTTCTGCTAGTAAAGGCCAGGGAGAAGACACTGAGCAGACCAAATTAACATGCCCATAGTATGTTCCATAGTATGTTTGCATTGCACGTGTGTGAACCACACCTGCTTTCCTTTATTGATTTAGGGTTTTGTTTTGGAGCTGAGAGGATAGGATTTTGCCTAAACATAATTTCTACGTCAGGGAGGACATTGTAGATATAGATTTACTTTATTAATTTTACTTGGACCTCACTTGCTTCCTAAATCTACAGAACAAGTTTTAGTAGAATATTAAAAATTAAATGTGTTCTTGAGGCTGGGGATGTAGCTCAGTAGCAGAGTGCTTGCCTAGTGTATATGAGGCCGTGGGCTCGACCCCCAATACTGCCTCTCTCCCCAAAAGGACCAGTTCATCAGTGCATAAACAATGCTGAAATAACTGCTGTACCCATCAGAATTTAGTAGAAGCCATTCTCAGTACTTGAATAGAATCAGAATGCACGATTTAACTGCGTTCAGCTCCCTTACTCTGAGCAGTGACTTACACAGCCACTGAAAGGATGAAAGGTGAAAAAGACCTCAGGTGACTTTCAGGAAGTGTTGATGTTGCATGGGCTGCCACGCTGGAGTAGGAACGAGGCAGCAGCCAAGAATGGGGACTTAGGGCCAGTGCATTGTAGAGCTTTTGGCCGGCTGTGGTGGTGCACACCTGTAATTCTAGCACTTGGGAGGCAGAGACAGGAGGGTCAGTGCAAGTTTGAAGCCAATCTGGGCTCCAGTAGTGAATTCAAGGACAGCCTGAACTGCATAGCGAGACCCTGTGTCACAGAAAAAAAAAGGAGGAGCTTCTGTATTGTAGCATCGGCCCAGTCGGGGGTGTTGGAGCTGAGACAGAAAGAGACAAGCTGCAGGGGCAAAGCAGGTGGTGGCGGTGGCAGTGAGAGATTGGTTATGTGGTGGAGGTTATGAGTGTACAGAGAGCCAAGTCCGAGTTGTAAATATGGGAAGGGAGAAAAGAAAATTTGCCATAACCGAGTTAGAGTTGTGCATTCTTTGTGAACTCATGGTGATCCGCATAGAGGTGTAAATGTATGTGTGTATGTGTACCTAGAACATTCTCACTGCAAGGGCTTAGGAACAGTGATCGCTCAGTAGGATTCAGTACGTACAGCTAAGTCTCAGATCCTGGCTTCTAAAACTCTTTCTCCACTAAAAGAACTCAACCCTTACTGGAGAAATGGCTGATTCCAGAGCGAGGCAGGGAAAACAAGATGAGACTGGAACATCTTACTGTGCCAGGAAGTAAGGACGTTCTTGAAGAACGACGAGGACATGTCAGAAATACTCAAAAGGCAGCCTGACAGGGCACCTGCTCGCCAAAGTTGCAACAGTTTGAACCTTATAGTAATTTACAACTCTTTGAATAGAAGATGCTGATACTGCTATGAATAAACAAGGGAATATGTGGAAGGGTTGAGGAAGAGAATATGCTTTCAACTTATTCTCCACGAAACATTAATTACACAAGGAAGACTTACTTTCCAGCTGGGAATCCTGGTACTGTTGTACCGAAGTTACTGAGGTGAACGTCATTGGAAATGGGACAAATAGGAATCATGTGCTAGGGTAGGAGACAATGAGAAGAACGTGTCATCACTTCTTTGGTACACAGATGATAATGTACCTGGTGAATGTCAGACAAGCCCATACTTTCATAAAATGACATGTTTATAGGAAAGCACTATCTTCAAAGTTAAAGAACAAAATGGCATAAAACCGTGGAAGTGGTCTCAGCTGCCTGTCTTAATCTGACAAGCTGCTGCTGCTGTCAGGTGCCAGGTGGGTTATTTAGAGGGCGCCCAGAAGACACGAGATGCAGCTCTTAGTTGTCCACATTGCCAAGCGAAATCAGATTCTTGGGAGGATTCTTGGAGGAATGGCAAAACCTTATTGGAGCTGTCTGCAAGTGCCCCCAAGCCTGCTCCCCGCTGCCGCAGAGGAAAAAGCCTTTGGTTCTTCTGTGCCTTGCGTAAATCACAGATGTCCCTGGCAGAGCTGACCTGGTGCACTCTTGGTAAAGGGTCTTGATGGAAGAGCTTGTAAGTAATGCAAGATCTTGCGTCTGCCTCTCAGATAGCTCGCTCATGTGCCAGCACATACTGCATTTATCTTTTCCCTAAATTTGGGGAGACCCAAAGTCCCTCAGTTCTAGATGGCGGTCATTCAACCTTTCATTCAGTGTAGTCACAATGTTTCTTTTATAGTCTGTGATCTAGAGATTACAGAGGGTTGAGGTGGAGCTCAGTCATAAAGAGTATTTGCCTGCCATGCATGAGGCCCTGAGTTCAGTGCTTAGCACCACAAAAAACCCAAGCAAAACCTATGTTAATCACTACCATTATTCCTAATAATGGTCATGGGCTGAAAAAAAAAAGAAATTGGTAATTGCATGGAGCAAGCCAGAAATACGTGTCTACAACTGATCACTGCCCACTCCATACTCCCAGTGTTCTCAGCCAGCACCTCAGCCGATTGTGGCTATGGTTACCTGCAAAGGTAACTCAGGCCTTCACTCCTAAGGGCCTGAGCCCTCCGTAGTCTTACGTCTATTAGATATCTATAGTCTGTTAGCTTTTAACCTGTAGGTAAATAGTGCCTTAGTGGGTAGAATGGTGATTTCCAAAAAGATATTTCCACACCCTGGGTTCTGTGAATTGACCTTGTTGATGGCTGTGACTTTATTTGAAAAGGGGTCTTTGCATATGTGGAGATTTTAAGATGAAGTCATCCTGGATTATGTGTGAGCCTTAAATCCAGTAAGCGATCCCTTAAAGAGACTGATAGCAGGGGAAAGATAATGCAGAGAAGGAAGTGAAAGCTCTGTGAAGACAGGCTTGGACTGGAGTGGTGCACCCTCAAGGTAGAAGTACGAAGAGGAAGGGATGGGATCTCCTCTAGAGCCCCTGCGGGGAATACAGTCCTGCTAACACTTTGAGTTTTGATTTCTGGGCTCCAGAACTATGAGAATAAATAGTCCTTTTCAGCCACCCAGCTTGTTGTTACGGCAGCCTTCTGAAACTAATACAGTGGGAATAATCTTGTTTCTAGACGTAACCCTTTTTGCTTTTAACTGTGTAGCGGCCATCTGGTTCATCCTTAGTAGTGGGACACATTCCAGCAGATAGTATTCCCTCAAACCCTGGCTCAGTAACATGAGAAACCCAGAACAGCCAAGGGCTTGTCTCAGTTTCCAGTCCAGTAAGGCTTTTGTTATATCACTTTGGGAACCAAATCTTCCAAACTAGAACAGGCCCAAACTGTGGATATAGGAGGCAAAGCTTTTGTGTCAATAGTTAGTGGTAGAGGAGCTTTCGCACTTCTTTTACCTGGTTCCTAGCCTCAGGTGTTCTGGCTGTGGGAAAGATCACGTATATTGATTTCTAATTTAGACTATGTACCACATTATTTAGGACGGTACCCGATCCACAAAGTGTTGCTACCAGATACAAAAATGAAGTCTTTCATAGGCCAGCAGTTCTTGGGTGCTAGCACGTAAGATCAATAAATCTTACCGATAAGACCCTATTTCTTATTTTGTATGAAAGTCATAATTAGAAGCAGTGAGGGTAGAGTATTATGGCAATGAATGAAACTGTCAGTAAGTCTAAGAGTTAGTGTACGTTACTGTTGTATTCAGCATTTGCAAAGGAATAGATTTAATACAGGACACATTATTTATAGGATTATTTTATAATACTCAAAAAGTCAAATGCAGAAGAGTGCAAGAGATCTGTGCATGCACTAGACCCAAAGAATCAAGCTGAGGGCCTGGATCCCATGGGAATGTCCTGCAGAAGTCCAGCTGGAGACCTAGAGCTCATAACAGTGTCTTACGCAAGTCTGCATCAAGGATCTGCACTGGGAAGGCCCAAAGGACAGTGGTGGAAGCTAGAAAGTCTGTGCCAGCAGGATAAAAGATCTGCACTGGAGCCAGGAAGCAAGGCTAAAGGTGAGGACCAAAGCTCCCCTGTAAAGAACTGCAACCATCCTCAGCAACAGTGAGGACCCGAGCTCTTCTGGCAGTGAGAATAGCTGAGTTCATATCAAGAAAACCAGTGTGACAGACTTCTACAGAAGAATCAACAACACACCATCCTCCCCTCCTGTTCTCCCTTTATGCTGCTGGCAACAGTACTCAGGTGGGCCTTCCACACCCAGAACCATGTTGATTCAGTTCAGCTGGGTGTTACAAGTTGCCCCTTAGTTAATCCACCACAGTTACTTACAAAGATAGGTTGACCCAGATCCTGAGTTGCATGTCATTAAAGAACTTACACGTACCCAGGCTACATAAAGACTTCAT